GGCATCATAGGAATTGCTTAATCAGGGGTGGGAAATGTTCAGACTGTGGGCCATATAAGGCCTGCAAAATCATTTAGTCTGGTCCTGCCAAGGCATTAGGGATTAACTAATTAAATATTTGACCAAATATAGCAGGTTAAATTTTTTTATATATTTTATTGACTTTTTACAGAGAGGAAGGAAGAGAGATAGAGAGCTAGAAACGTCGATGAGAGAGAAACATTGACCAGCTGCCTCTTGCATACCCCCTACCGGGGATGTGCCCGCAACCTATGTACATGCCCTTGACCGGAATTGAACCTGGGACCTTTCAGTCCGCGGACTGACGCTCTACCACTGAGCTAAACCGGTTTCGGCTAGCAGGTTAATTTTTAAACTACTGATTTTGCATAGCCCACGAATGATGCTATATCCAGATGGCCCCTGGCAGAAAAATGGTCCCCACCCCTGGCTTAAATAAACTGTAATCCTATATAATAAAAGGCTAATACGCAAATCAACCGAACAGCAGAATGACCGGTCGCTATGATGCACACTGACCACCAGAGGGAAGACGCTTAACATAGAAGCTGCCCCCTGGTGGTCAGTGCACTTCCACAGTGGGAGTGCTGTTCAGCCAGAAGCAAGGCTCACAGCTGGTGAGCACAGCAGCAGTGGTGGGAGCCTCTCCAGGGAATGGGCCAAAGCCGTCAGCCAGACATCCCCCAAGGGCTCTCAGACTGCGAAAGGGCACAGGCTGAGCTGAGGGACACCCTCCCCCAAGTGCACAGAATTTTGTGCACTGGGCGTCTAGTGTATCCATAAAAGGCAATCGTGGCAAATGATGCTATAGATCTATTTTTATTGACATGAAAAGATGTTAACATGTAAACATCAAGTAAAAAGAGATTATAAAGAGAACATATTATATGATTCCTTGTAAATTACACATATAATTTTATATGTATATTTGCAGTTAAAAAATTATAGCTAGGTGATGGGATTTTATGTTTATTCTTATTATTCATTTATAGTTGGTGTACATTGAGCTTCTATTGCCTGGATGCTTGGATGAATGGGCAGATACAGTGAGAAATATATAGATACATAGATATAGAATATATAAAGATATATAGATAGAATTTAAAGATCTAGTGTTTAAAAAATAAGATTGCAGCCAAAACCAGTTTGGCTCAATAGATAAGAGCATCGGCCTGCAGACTGAAGGGTCCCGGGTTTGATTCTAGTTAAGGGCATGTACCTTGGTTGCGGGCACATCTCCAGTGGGGGGTGTGAAGGAGGCAGCTGATCAATGTCTCTCTCTCATCAATGTTTCTGGCTCTCTATCCCTCTCTGTAAAAAATGTTTCTAACTCTCTATTCCTCTCTGTAAAAAAATCAATAAAATATTTTTTAAAAATAATAAGATTGCAGCCACATCTGATATTTGAAAAGCTCTATTATACACTTTAAGAATACTCATGTGCAACATACTTGCAAGAGTTCAGAAAAATATATCTATGTCTACCTGTATATCAATATCTATACATTTATAGACATTTTCTCACTATATATAAATGCATTGATATAAACAGTGAAAAAAATACTATCTGCTCATTTATAAAGACAATGACAGAATATTATGATAAAGCAAATATAGAAAAATGGCAGCAATCAGGGAATCTGGGTGAAGAGTATATTGGAGTTCCTTGTGTTTTCTTTCAACTTTTCTGTAAATGTGAATTACCTCACAGTTTAAAAGTTTAAAAAAGTAATATGCATTTTATATTTCAAACACATGGTCTGGTACAAGATTATACCAATTTAAAAAGAGAAACTACTCCACCACTTGATCTTCTTATTGGCACTTGAAACGAGCCTGTGATCAATCTTTTAATTCACCCTTTACAGTGCTTGTCACAAGAATAACTTGCAATTTATTTGGTTGTCTTCCCCAGAGCGTAGACATATATGGGAAGCCTCCCATTTTGTTTCACAAGGCCAGCACAATTTTAATAACAGAATGTGACAGACCTAGCACATAAAAATCCATGGACCAACGTGAATCATAAATATAGACACACATGTAGAAAACAAATACTAGCTTATTCAAGTCTAATAATTCCTTAAAAGAAAATAATAAATCATTCATAGATAGGGTTCATTTCAAGATTATAAAGTAGGGTCAACATGAGAAAATCTAAAGAATTTAAGAGATATTTCATCTGACTTTCTTGATATATAGTGAAGAGAGGTTTTTCTTTAGCAACTCCTTTTTGTAAACTAGGAATAACTGAACACAATAAAGACTACCTATTACTATATATATATATATTTGAGGGGGAATACTAGAGACATTACTACCCAAGCTAGGAAGAAGAAAAATATACCTATTGTCATTGCTATTATTCAACTGTTTTGGAGGCTCTAGCCAACATAGTAAAAGGAAATTATAATTACTTCTTAATTTTATGATAACCTCTCTAAAAAATCCCAAAGAAGCCACAAAAAGCTATTAATTAATAAGACTGTTTTAATCAGGTCCAATACAGTATATCAAAGCTTTATGCCAGACATTGCAAGTTGGCAAACTTTTTCCATAAGGGTCAGAGAGTAAATATTTTAGTGTTTGAAGGCCATATGGTCTCTGTAGCAACTATTCAACTCCGTCATGAAAAAGCAGCCATAGATAATACAAAAATGAATGGATGCATCTGTCTTCCAATAAAACTTTATTTACAAAAACAGGCAATGGGCCGGATCTGGTCCACTGGCCACAGTTTGCTGACCCCTGTTTTATACCACACAAAAAAAAAGTTGATAGAGAAAAGTTATCATCTCAAACAGCAAAACAATATATAAAGACTTAGAAATTACTTTCTAAAGAGCGATTCAACTATATGAATCAAAAAATTAAACTGTGAATACTCTTTCAACATAACAAGTCCATTTCTGGGAATTTATACTAAAGGTATGTTTAGGGAAGGACATAAAGATGTGTACCTATGGATATTTATTATACTGCTATTTGTAATGAGAAAAAAATATCCCTGACATAATCCATGTCTATGAAAATACATCATTTTTAAAGGTGACAGAATAGTATGCATATCAGCTAATTTTTAAGTATAAGGGTGTGTGATGGTTATGCATATGTAATCACACATGAAAAAAATCCTGGAAAGATATATGCCCAACTAGTGGCCTGGTGCATGAAATTCATGCAGGGGAGGGGGCTGTTACCCTCTCCAATTTGGGATCTTTTAGGGGATGTCCAACTGCCAGTTTAGGACCAATCCCACAGGGGTCAGACATCCCTCTCAGAATCCAGGATCTCTGGCTCCTAACTGCTCACCTGCCTGCCAGCCTAATATCCCCCTAACCACTCCCCTGCCAGCTTGATTGACGCCTAACTTCTCCCCTGCTGGCCCGATCACCTCTAATTGCTCTCCCTTGCCAGCCCAATTGCCCCCAACTGCCTTTCCCTACCAGCCTGATCACCCACAACTGCCCTCTGCTGCCACGACCTGCCTCTTCTGCCGGGACTCACCTCCTCCATGTGAGGCAGTAGAGATGCTGGGACCGGCCTCCTCCAAGCCACATGGAGCCACAGAACCCCCAGGCCTCACTGCATGGAGCAACCACTGGGCCCCAGCTCTGCTGTGTGCACAGCCATCTTGTGGCAGCCATCTCTTGGCAACCATCTTGTGATGACGTCACACGTGAGGGCCACCTAGGCTTTTATTAGTATAGATAGTATGGGAATTCCAACTGTTGGGTTGGGTTAAACCTCTGACATTCTTGAAAAATCCTCATTTATAATTTATGATGACTAAGTTTGGCTCTCTTAATAGAAAATGTAAGTTCTATGATTTTGTTTTAAATCTTTATTGTTGAAAGTATGACACAGGTCCTCCCCCCACAATAAACCTCTTCCAGCCTGCTCCTGTCCTCCCCTCCAGACCCTCACCACCCTATTGTCTGTATCCACACGTTATGCATACAAGTTCATTGGTTGATTTCTTCCTGCACACCCTCCCCTGTCTACATGATTTATATCTAGTGACATTTGAGCACATTTTCCCTTACAATTGACAACAGTTATTTATTTTTCCATGTTTTGGTTATAGTATATCTATAAATGGATACATATTTGACTTTCCTGTATTTAAAATCTTGGAAAAAAGGAGTTGGGGAAGAAAGAAAAATAATGATCCCTGTAAGTGCTCAGAAATTCTTTATAGGTGTAAATGAACACAAGTTATATGACATAACTGTTACCACAAAGAGGGGGGGAAAACATTATATTTCCCTTCTCAAAACACGGAACTTACCTGGCTTTGAAATCTACCAATTTCCCTCCTGAAGTAGCGGTCTCCAATAGCTCAGAATAAAAATTAGATCCAGTGCAAACAGAAGATCCTCTAGTTAAAGATATTTTCAACTTCTGAAGGGTGTGTGCACACACACCTATGTGAGTATGTGTATGTACGCACATGTAAGTATGTGTGTGTGATCTTGTCATTGCTAGAGAGGCCATGGGAGAAAAGACAGTCTCCCCAGAGCCAAGTTAGAAGTTAACAGGAACAATATGACAAACACAAGGTCATCCAGAGTTCTCAAAAGTGATGTCAAAAAACTATGAGGTGTTAAGTATATTTTGTAAGCCATAAAAATCTAGGACACAATGAGCAAGTGATAAAGTTTGCTCTGAACACAACAAATAAATACATTGATATAACGTGGTTTGCATTGTTTGCATTAACTATTCCTTTGCTCCCAGTCTCAATCAGATGCTATTTGTCCTTCAGCAGCAGAAATTACTACTGTGAAACATGAACATAATGAATTAAGCTTGGGTTGAGAACGGTGAGATTGGAATTCCACAACTTTCCTTTCAATCTTCCATTTTTAAAAATCTGGAACATGAATTCAGTATAGCTAAAAAGTGAATAAAATTATGTTTTTCTTGTCAAATACTGATCTCTGTAAAGTGCATCACCATCCCCAATAGAAACTTACCCTTCAACTTGAGGTCCACATTATGTCTCAGCCAAGGATAAACCCCGTAGCTTGGCATATCTTCAGGAATTGGATTGCTGTTTATCCAGCCATCACAAGCAAACCGGAAGAAATTATCACAAGGGTCCACAGATGGATTTACTTTACTCAAGATGGCAGCAGCTATTTAAAAAGAAAATCATAGGGTTAATGACAATCACTGAATGCTGTGTATTGGCCTCTTCCAAATTAAACAATGATTTCCTAGCAACCAGTTCCCAAGCCTTAGCTTTTACATTTCCCCTTATGTGACTCCCTGAATCAACTGCACCATACCAAATTACTGCATTCAGAGTGTGTGGGTGAAAAGTTTCGTATTACTGTTATTGGGTTTTGCAGGAACACCCCTAACAATCTGTGGGACACAGGACAGGCGTACAGATGGAGTAGGTGCTAAATTGCTTGCAAAGTTGCTTGGGACATTTCCTTCCGGCCCGCTCATCCTTCTGCTAGGTGACTTTGCCCCTCTTCCCATCAAGCAATAGGATCGATTTCTCCTGCTTTGAACCTGGGCTGGCCTTCTGGCTTGCTTTGACCAATAGAATGTGGCATAATAACTTTCCACAAATTTATAAGCTAGGTCTTAAGAATCCCTGCATGTTGCATGTGAACTCTCTTTGAATGGAACCCTGAGACTGTCCTTTGAAGAAGCCTCCTGGAGGTGAGACCACGTGGAGAAGAACCAAGCCAGCACCAACTGCCAGATATGCTGCCAGATATGCGACTGAGGCCTTCGTGCACCTTCTAGGTCACGTGACCCTTCAGGTGAATGCAATTTTATGAATGAGCCTAAGCCAGTGGTTCTCAACCTTCCTAATGCCGCGACCCTTTAATACAGTTCCTCATGTTGTGGTGACCCCCAACCATAAAATTATTTTCATTACTACTTCACAACTGTAATTTTGCTATTGTTAGTGGGTCGTAATGTAAATATCTGTGCTTTCCGATGGTCTTAGGCTCTACAGCAGCGGTTCTCAACCTGTGGGTCGTAACCAGATTGAGAACCGCTAGCAGGGTCGCCTGAGACCATCAGAAAAAACAGATGTTTACATTACGATTCATTAACAGTAGCAAAATTACAGTTATGAAGTAGTAACAAAAATAATTTTATGGTTGGGGGGTCACCACAACATGAGAAACTGTATTAAAGGGTTGCGGCATTAGGAAGGTTGGGAACCACTGGCCTAGGCAGTAACAGTTGAGCAACCCTCACCAAACCCCCAGAACCATGAAAAATATTAAGTCACTCTTATTCCAGGCCTCTCAAGTTGGTTTGTTCCACAACGAAGGCTAATTAAAACAGAGGCCCACGTGTTACATCTAAATATTTAAAATACTAGAGGCCAAATGCAGGAAATTGATGCAAGGGGCTCTCACCCCACCACCACTGCGGTGGCCGCCTCTGGAAGGATGTCCAGTCTAATTAGCATATTATGTTTTATTATTATAGATATATTTATAATACACCTTCATAAAGACCTGGAAGGCCAAGTATGAATTTGAACCCTTTGGCATTCAGGGCAGCTCTCAGAGTAATGAACCCCTCTTAAGAGGCCAACATGGTCCTTGAAAGGGGGCTTGGGGCTCTCTAGCAGTGAGCTCTGGGTTGTGGAAGGATGCTAACTTGGCCCTTTAAGACTCCTTGGGTACAGAGCAAGGCCAAGTGGGCATTCTACATGAGGGACCCAAGGCAGGGGTCTCTCTTACCCAGGTCTAGGAGCAGAACCGAGTATTCGTGTAGTAAGTTAACAGAAACACAAAATAGACTGATGCCTAATTTTTTTCCCCTCTTTCATAAGCCCACACACAATTACATATGACATATAGCCGATAGGTTGGAAGTTTGTGCAAATGTAAATGTTTCCATGAGCTTTAAAAACAATCTTTCATTACAAAATGAGAAGGTTCCAATATTCCCAACATTGAACTCCGACGCTCTTCCAATTGGCATACAATTGCTGACTACCACTCTAGAACAGAGAGATCCACCAACAAATTTTTTTTAAGACAGCTAATATTTTAATGACATTGGAAAGATGACATCCTGAGTAGTTTTCATACTCTCATTAATGCCAGAATACATTTCTGTTCAAAGTAATTAAAACCCAGTGAGTTTTCAGCTAACTGTGAATTAATTGCCCCCAAAAGTATAATCTACATACATTTAGATACATGTTAGTTTGGCCACATGTGTGGTTCCTCCAGGTTTGAAAGTAAGGCTAGGTATTTCTCTTGCCTAGACTTTCTATGAAATTTTCAAACAGCTTTTTGTCTTCAAATAAAGCAAATAATATACAAACATCCTCATTTCTATAGGACTTCAAAATTCCTCCCATTTTCAACCTCCCCCAAAAAAAGAACAAAGCAAAAAAAAATGTCATTAATCCTATGGTTTAGAAGTTTGATAAATTTTAAATTGGCTTAACATTTTCATCTTTCAGAATTCAGTTGTATCCAATTACATTTTTACTTACTGCTACTATATTATTATTATTTAACATTCAAATATGCTAGGACACACAAAATCTTCATTTCAGTTTCTATTTAGTTATACTGGCTGTGCAGCCAGAGAATGAACCTTCTATGGGACACCTCAGGGTCACTGAACATACAAGTTTCAGTCCCACACAATATTTACACTCACACACAGGAACCCCACACACACATTTTTTTATTGTTTTTTCCAAAAAGCCTTATTGTTTCCATTTGGTCCAATGCATGGAGGGGGCTGCAGGGTGGTTAAAGGAATGGCTAGTAGTTTCGGGGAGAGGCCCAGGCAAAAGCGAGGCCCCAGGGGGACACGGGGACCCCCTCACAGGACTCTGGGCTCCACAGGCTCCCAGTGGTGCCTGAGGGTGAGCCTTTGGGAGAAGCCTGGGGGCCGCAGCCTGCACAGCGGGTCAGGTGGGCCCATCTCCTGGAGGAGTCCCACCTGCTCACCCAGGAAGCGCTTCTCCAGGAGGTCACAGAGCGGAGGATCTGCGCGTGCGCGGGCGGAACCAGGGCCTGCAGCTCCCAGAGGGCCTGGCTCGGGTTCCTCTCCAAGGCCAAGGCCAAGGCCAAGGCGGCCTCCATGGGGCCTGAGTGGTGCCCACTCACTGTGGGAGGCCCCAGCACGTCCTGGAGAGCATGTGGCCACCGCGCTGGCTTTACATCTCTAAGAGATGCTCAGCGCCCTCGCACTTCTAGTCCACCAGCTCCTGGAAGAAGTGGCCAGAGGCTGGAAGAACAGGCGTCCCTGGGTCTGTTCCGTCCTAACACTGTAGAAGCTAGAAGCAGAGACAGATCCGGGGCCACCGAGGGCCCTCACACATTTTCATTCACACAGCACACTGCTTTCTGGATGCCTCCAACCCATCTCCTCAGTATTCATGCAGGTACCTAGAAAAACTGCAAGGTCAGCTCCAACCTCAGCCCTGCTAGAAAGTGAAGGAATATATCACTCACTGAACTTGGAACCGAGCCCGGTGAATGGGGAAACTCTTGCTTCAGCCTCTCAATTCATCAGTCACATTTCCCAGCTGGGCACAGAGCTGCATTTTGAGAAGGGGAACTGGGTCTTCAAATTTCAAGGGACCATAGTTGTCAAGACACCAAAACTCCTTTCCCCCGACTCAGCTTCATGGAGAAAACCCAGAATCTTTTTTTTTTAATAATAATTATTATTATACATTTACAGACACATAAGTATCTATATGATGATGAAGGAAATCTGTGCTGTGTGCTCTCTCAAGTCATCTATAATAAAAAAAGCATAATATGCTAATTACACCAGACAGCCAAACGAACGACTTTCCAGACGACCTTCAGGACAAAGCCATGGTTGCCAGGGTCTCTCGTTGTATATAAGGTGAAATGTTAAGTGGTTATTGTAGTAGAGATTGAGTGACCACCCCATATACCAGGCTGAGTTTGTAAGTTTAATCAGGGCTCAAGAAAGAGGGGGAGAGTGGTGGTAGCAATAATAATAATAATAATAATAATAAATATTAGGCATTTCCTCTGAGCCAGGAACTAGGCTAGCCCTCTCCAGGCAGTATGGCATCATCACAAACTCCAGAGCCAGACCACCTGGGTTTAAATGCCAGAAATACAATGCAGTAGCTATGTAACCTCAGGCAGGTTACTTAACCTTAGTTTCCTCATCTGTAAAATGGGACCATAACAACACCCCATTGGATTTTCAAGAAAATTAAATGAGTAAACATATGTCAAGTGTTTAGAACAGTGCCAAGGACACTGCCAAATAATACAGTTGCCAGGTAAAATACAAGATGCCTAGTGAAATTTGAATTTCAAATAAATGACCAAGTCTATAGTATACCAATTGTTCTACGGGTCATACTTCTGCAAAAAAAAAAAAAAAAAAAAAAAGTAGTGTTTGTACGTGTGCAATTCAAATTTAACTGAGCATCCGCAATGTGCCTGTAGCTAAATCTGGCAGCCACACATACAAATTTTTAGTACTATAATTCCACGAACACTTATCTGAAACTTGAGGCCAGATGTTTCAGAGCTCATAGATTTTCACATTTTAGAAAAGTAACACAGTGCATATACCACAGATTATATAACGCCTCCAGCAACAGCTGGAATGGCAGTCCTGAAACAAGCACATGCAGAATTCTATTGGGGATGTATACATATTCTCATACGGGGGAAACAAAGTCTAAAACAGCCTCCCATAAGTTAGGATCCAGTTTTGCCACCACCGGAGTTGAGTTCAGGTCCAGTCTCGCCAACTGAGAATCACCATGCTCTCTGGGTTTGGGGTTAAGGATGTGGAATTGTGGTTCTGGAATACTACTACCACCATCGTTTTCTCCTATTCTCGCTGGCATGGTAAGTGAAAACTGTTCCTCCCACTTTACAGATGGTGAAAACTGAGACTTAGGGTGTCTGTGTACTTAGCTCAAGATCATGTGGCTTTTAAGAGGCCACTTTATGCTTAAGTTTAAACCCAGGCCAGGCTGTTTGCCCTTATACACTATCATTAACTTACCCGTTTCTTCATTCCACTTCCCTTGCATTCCTCCACCACTTCTGATTTTGAAAGACCAGTTAAGTAGGAGGAAATAGAAAAGGAGAAGAGGCCGAAACCGGTTTGGCTCAGTGGTAGAGCGTTGGCTTGGGGACTGAAAAGTCCCAGGTTCGATTCCGGTCAAGGGCATGTACGTTGGTTGCGGGCACATCCCCGGTAGGGGGTGTGCAAGAGGCAGCTGGTCGATGTTACTCTCTCATCGACGTTTCTAGCTCTCTATCTCTGTAAAAAGTCAATAAATTAAAAAAAAAAAAAAGTGAGGAGACACAAAGCGCACGCACACACAGCACCTGTCGGCTCATGCAGACACACGCATACACAGGCACGCGCACAGCACCCGTTGGCGCACGTAGACGCACGCACACGGCATGCACAGACACAGGCACGCACATGGCACCTATCGGCGCACGTAGACGCACACAAGCACACGGCACCCGTAGGCGTAAGCAGTCGCACACACGCACATGCACGCACGCACACAGCACCCATTGGCTTACACAGACGCACGCACGTAAACGCACGCGGCACCCATTGGCACACATAGACGCACGCACACGCATTCATGACAACGTACGCAGACGCATGCACACCGCCACTGTCGGCGCACGCAGAAACACGCACAATTTATATCAAGTTGAGGCCATAGGAACGTCAATGGTCTCCGTCTTTGGGCCTTACAGAGAGGCCATTCAGCTTTCCAAGCCCCTTTCTGTTTCCTTATACGGGAATACCTTGGGGGTTTTCTTTATTGCTCTTTTTTATTAAATTTATTGGGGTGACACCGGTTAATAAGATTATATATCGTTCTCAAGTGTTTTATTGCGTTTTTGCTTTATTGCTCTTCACAGGTATTGCTTTTTTTTTTTTTTTTTTTTTACAAACTTAAGGCAGGACCCTCCACCCAGGCAAAAAGATTACAACTCATTTTATTGCAATACTCCATTTTATTGTGGAGGTCTGGGACCGAAATCGCCATATCTGACTGCTGCAAAGACTTAGAATACTGCACAGTTGTTTTTTGTTTTTTGTTTTGTTTTGTTTTGTTTTTTCAAGGAAAACAGGAAACCTGCTCTCCACAACTTCACACCAAGATTTGAAAGGAAACTTAAAATTTCATCAAAATTGCATTTCATACTTTGCAAACCTCAAGCAAACAGGATACTAAAAATACCACCTGTTTTCTCTTCCAGTCCCCAAGGTACCATAATTATAACTTGACACAGGACGGGAAACTGACTTACCAGCTTCAATGCATTCTGGCTTCAGGCAGTACTCCTGTTTAGCTTGGAGATGTAAGAAACCTTGACTCACTGAAAAAACAAGACGAAAATAAAGAAATGACTGCTTGAAGCAGATCACCATCAGGTAACCCACCACCAGGCACATATACAAGGCATTTGATAGCAGTTCATCCTTCTCAGTATTGACGCGGAACTGAAAAATCCAGTTGGCTCAGTATCACAGAGCCAGACTCGGGTCATTAGCGAAGTAACCTTGGTGAGACTTCTGGTTGCTCTGAAATTCAGTTCTCTCAAACATAAGATGATTGGGCACAATTAGACCAGTGCTTCTCAGAATGGGGTCCCCTGAGCAGTGGCAACAGCATCACCGGGAAATTTGTTAGAAATGCAAATTACCAAGCCCTGCGGTCCTTCAAAATCAGAAACTCTGAGGTGGGGCCCAGCCATCTGCATTTCACCAAGGCCTCCAGGGGATTCTGATGCAGGCTCTTGTTTAAGAAGTACTGGGCTCACCCTAACTGGTATGGTTCAGTGGATAGAGCATCGGCCTGCGGACTGAAGGATCCCAGGTTCAATTCCGGTCAAGGGCATGTACCTTGCTTGCAGGCACATCTCCAGTGGGGGGTGTGCAGGAGGCAGCTGATTGGTGTTTCTCTCTCATCGATGTTTCTATCTCTCTTCCTTCCTCTTTGTAAGAAAAAAAATCAATAAAACAAAAAAGAACTGAGTGAAGGAAGGAAGGAAGGAAGGAAGGAAGGAAGGAAGGAAGGAAGAAAAAGGAAGGAAGGAAGGAAGGAAGGAAGGAAGGAAGGAAGGAAGGAAGGAAGGAAGGAAGGAAGGAAGGAAAGAAGGAAGGAAGGAAGGAAGGAAGGAAGGAAGGAAGGAAGGAAGGAAGGAAGGAAGGAAGGAAGGACGAACTACTGGGCTAGAAGATCTCTCAAGTCTCTTCCATCTCCTATTATCTATTATTTAAGTCTCATAATTTTACTCTGTTGTTTACAACTACATTCTGGTTTTAGTGATGGGAAAATTGAAACATGTCATTGGGAACAAATCCTGAGCGGAAGGAGAAAGCTAGCATGTGTGGCATTTAGAGTTCTGGATCTTAGCAACACCATCCATATAGATGAGGCCCAAGGGGGAGGAAGGTACTATATATTATATATAACTCAGCCATCTAGCAAGAGAGCCATTATTTGCCTGCTTTGTACCCCACACCCCCTCCTCCCTCCAGACCCAGCCTCGCTACTAGACATGCAGCTCCATGGACCAAGCTTCCAACTACTCCCACCAAAACAAAGCGGAACAAAAACCACCGCAAGATGGAAGCGGCTTTCCACCAATTGCTCACTTTCCCCCATCTGGTGCAACCTTGTCTGAACGGATCTCTGCGGGAGTACAGAAGCGTACCCATTTGTAAACTCCAGCTAGCACCTGGGCACTAGCAGATGTGAGCTCAGATTTCAAAAATAGTTTTGGTAGCCGAAGAACTTGTGGCGAATTCACTATCACTGGGCTCTGGGGGCGGAAATAAGGAATCATTTGGAGATGTGGCTGTGGGGAGATGCAGGTTGGGGGGTGGGGGTGGGGGCTCTTCATGGCATCCTCAACTGAGAAGCAGAATCCAAAAGTGTGGCCGTGTCTATATTTCTGCTAGAGATGTACGTCACGTGCCAGCATGTCAATCTGGTTGGTTTATTTATTTGCCTTTTTGTCTGTGTGTTTTCTGTTTTATTTATTAACCTGCATTCTGAGAGGAGCCAGCTTTTTCTTTGTTCATATCTCTGCTGCCATCCTCCAAACAGCCTTTTTACCTATTACCCTGCAGATTCAATAAACGGCCTATGAAATAACTCAGGCCTGCTTTTAAGAAATGAAGTATTGCGCCGAAACTGGTTTGGCTCAGTGGTAGAGCATCGGTCTACTGACTAAAAGGTCCCAGATTCGATTCCGGTCAGGGGCATGTACCTGAGTTGCGGGCACATCCCCAGTAGGGGGTGTGCAAGAGGCAGCTGGTGGATGTTTCTCTCTCATCGTCATTTCTAGCTATCTCTCTCCCTTCCTCTCTGTAAAAAATCAATAAAATATATATATATTTTTTTAAAAGAAATGAAGTATTGCTGAAACCGGTTTGGCTTAGTGGATAGAGCTTCAGCCTGCAGACCGAAGAGTCCCAGGTTCGATTCCAGTCAAAAGCATGTACCTTGGTTGCGGGCACATCCCCATTGCGGGGTGTGCAGGAGGCGGCTGATCAATGTTTCTAGCTCTAGCTCTCTCCCTTCCTCTCTGTAAAAAATCAATAAAATATATTTTTTTTAAAGGAAATGAAGTGTTGTAGCATAAAGATGCGTTTTGATTTATTTAAAAAGCAAAGGAAAAAAGTAGTTAGGTAAAAATATATCTGTGCAGTCTAAAACTTGGTACCAAATATTTCAATGTGCCTGAGTGCTAGAACCATGGAGGACATTTGCTCTTTCGTCCACTTCCATATGTTTTCCAAATGTTCTTTAATGAGCATGTGTGGTTTTTTTATAATGGAAAAATAAAATTATTGCAAATAAGATTTTATGGTTCTGGACAATACCTTCTTGATACTAGCCTTGTTTGTTTTTTTAATACCTCAGCATTTCTTTCTTTTTCTTTTTTTAATATATTTTATTGATTTTTTTACAGAGAGGAAGAGAAAGGGATACAGAAAAACATCGATGAGAGAGAAACATCAATCAGCTGCCTCCTGCACACCCCCCACCGGGGATGTGCCCGCAACCAAGGTACATGCCCTTGACCGGAATCAGAGCTGGGACCCCTCAGTCAGCAGGCCGACACTCTATCCACTGAGCCAAACTGGTTTCGGTGATACTAGCCTTGTTTTATTTTAAATATATATATATTTTATTTCATAGAGGAAGGGAGAGGGAGAGGGAGAGGGAGAGAGAAACATCAATGATGAGAGAAAGTCATTGATTGGCTGGCTCCTGCACACTCCACAATGGGGGTTCAACCCACCACCTGGGCGTGTGCCCTGACCTGGAATCAAGTTGTGACCTGGTTCACAGGTCAATGCTCAAACACTGAGCATGCCAGCCGGGCATATGACTGAGTTTGAACAGGCAGAAGAATATACCACAAAGTCATACTAGAAGTATCTTGAAGAGTTGAAGACCTTATCCAGAATATTGTCAAAAAGAGAATTGCCTGGCCTTAACCAGTTTGGCTCAGTGGATAGAGCATCAGCCTGCAGACTGAAAGATCCCAGGTTTGATCCAGTCAAGGGCATGTACCTTGGTTGCGGGCACATCCCCAGTAGGGGGGGTGCAGGAGGCAGCTGATGGATGTTTCTCTCATCGATGTTTCTAACTCTCTCTTTCTCTCCCTTTCTCTCTGTAAAAAAATCAATAAAACATATATTTCAAAAATAATGCAGATCCTGATTCAGTAGGTCTGGGTGGGTAGGGTCCAGGCTTGACAAGTGATGCTGATCCTGTTGGTCCACAGACCACACTTTGAGAAGCAAAAGTGTAGAATGGCTACACCCTTACTCTCTAACATCATTAGAGCTCCTCTTAAGATTCCTGGTGAGAACCAGGTTATTGGGTACACTAGAAAGTTCTTTTTCTTTAAATATATTTTATTGATTTTTTTACAGAGAGAAAGAGAGAGGGATAGGGAGCTAGAAACATCAATGAGAGAGAATCATCGATCAGCTGCCTCCTGCACACCCCCCACTGGGGACGTGCCCACAACCAAGGCACATGCCCTTGACCGGAATCAAACCTGGGACCTTTCAGTCGCAGGCCGACGCTCTATCCACTGAGCCAAACCAGTTTCGGCTAGAAAGTTCTTTTTTTTTTTTTTTTTTTTTCTATTGGTTGCAGAGCTCCTTATGAGTAAGGAGGTCTGTATATAATGGCTTGGTGAATTTAACTGTGCTCTAAAAACTTGAGTGCTGATTCCAAAGAATCATGTTCTCTCAAAGAACAAAAATTTGCTGCCATCAAAAGTATTCCAGCCCTGCCGAAACCAGTTTGGCTCAGTGGTAGAGTGTTGGTCTGTGGACTGAAAGGTCCCAGGTTCGATTCCGGTCAGGGGCATGTACATTGGTTGCAGGCACATCCCCGGTGGGGGGTGTGCAGGAGGCGGCTGGTCGATGTTTCTCTCTCATCGACGTCTCTGGCTCTCTATCTCTCTCCCTTCCTCTCTGTAAAAATCAATATAATATATATATTTTTAAAAAAGTATTCCAGCCCTAACCAGTTTGGCTCAGTGACTAGAGCGTCAGCCTGCAGACTCAAGGGTCCCAGGTTCAATCCGGTCAAGGGCATGTACCTTGGTTGCAGGCACATCCCCAGTGGGGGGTTGTGCAGGAGACAGCTGATTGATGTTTCTCTCTCATCGATGTTTCTAACTCTCTATCCCTCTCCCTTCCTCTCTGTAAAAATAAAAAAAAATGCAGTTTTTGAAGAGTACTCCAACTAATATGCTTTAGCCTCAGTATGTAATCATAACAATGGAATTTCAAAAAAGTTTCAAGAGGCAGTAATATTCAAAAAAGTACATATTTTTACATAAACAATCATCATTTGGATTTTTAAGTTGGGAGTGTTTTCAAAACACAAATAGTCTAACTTTGTGGTCACTTCCTACACAGCATGCAGTCCCTTGGCCTGCCCATATCATTTTTCCTCCAGTTTTGGATTTCAGGATAGGACACTTGCCCAAGATCCAAAAGCCAAGAGATCGCATAATAGTTTTTGAGAGCCACAAATTTGGTCGCAAGAGTAGATTTCACTGTCCCAGAAAGCAATAAAAGCCACCTCATTCCCTATATTTTCAGCCACAGCAAAGATGGAAACATGGCTTGCTCATTTTAGCAAAGTTTTCAACCACACAACCCTCACTCTTTTCAAGTTTAATTACTGGCTTCCCCGTGCCAAAATAAACATGGCCTCCTGCAGCCTGTATGTGCCAAGGAATGTTTCCAGGCATGCTACATTTCAAACTGCACCTAGAGTCTGCTAAGTATAGAGCTTGGTCCTATACGACATTCAAGCTAATGGTATGGGCTGTCTGAGCAAAATACAAAGGCTGATAGGCAAGAGTTCAGAAGGCCTATAGTCTTTAATGCATTTCATTCTTTGTTATAGGAATATGTTTTTATCATCTTATAGTCTCCCTGGAAACCTTCTTCTCACCAAGAGTTAACATAATTCAATCCTAACACCTTTCAAATCTTGGAAGGAAACCTCTGTTTTCCTTCACGTTCTTTTTAAAAATCTCATAGAAAGGTGAAGTTAAAATGTTATCCCACCGGGGTCCCTGGATAAGAAAGGAAGAATATCATTTAGAGGTGAAAGGAAGAATATCATTTAGAGGTGCATTCATAAAAACTAATTTGTATTTTGTGAGTTAAATGTTATGATTCACCCAGGCAAACATTGACAGAAATCAAACGGAAAGGAATTCCAGCATGGTTTTGATCACAGTGTAATGCTCTCCTCGCCAAACAAATAAAAGTATCTGCCTATGAATTCATAAACATTCATTTGCTGCTAAATGCAATGCAGAAAGACAATATTTGCCCCGTGCCAGCCAATCCTCCAGCCACTAGGAAGCCACTCTCTATCCACTTCACATCCTGGGCTACGCACCGAGTGCTTGCGAGTATTTATTTATGTAGCCTCCTAAAGAGAAGGCTCCCACGATTTGCATATTTAATAGAAACCAAGGATGCATCATCTACCAATACAAGCACACAGCCCTCCACCTGCATCCTGAGGAGTCTGACAGCATCCAGTCCAGAGACGTTGCCCCGCATTCGCCCAGCTCCCTGGCCTCCAGTGCCCCACTTACCTAGAAAGAGGATGGTGCCCAGCACCAGGGTGCTACCGATGAACACGGCCAGGGCAATCCGAGTGCCTCTGTTGGCCGATTTCCCAGCCTCCATGCTGCTCCCCGTCTCTGCTTCCATCGGAAGGGATGTGGAGCCCAGGCCAGGAGAGAGTCGCCGTGTGTGGTTTGTTGGCCGGTCTCAAGAGTCTCTTAGATGTTGGCATCCAAAAGTTCTCTTGCTCTTGTACGAATGGACAGCTGTGAAAGGTCCTATCAGGAAACAGCCCCTCACCAGCCCTTCTCGAATAGTTCTTCACACAAATGAAGTCCAAGAAACCCAAAACATGGGTTGTCCCGGCTCTCCCCACCCTGACCAGACAAAATAAACAGTGGTTGCTTTATCTCGGTGTGCTCCCACCAGCAAAGTCCCCCTCCACCGATTGTTTGGCAGGCTCTTCTCTCAGGCGTTCCGGGTGTACATGTTTTACTATGTTGCTGAACAGATGTTTTAGCTATTTAAACGTATAGTCACTTGGGGAGGAAAAACCAATTGTCTTTATCAAAACTGGATTTGCGTCAAGCTCTCCCCCTGACCATGACAAGTTAGGTAGCAAGGAATTCTCCAGACCCACTGCAAGATTGCAACAATTCACGTCATCCTTTGCGCAATAGTCACCCTGCTCGCCTGAAATTGTCTTCATCAAAGATGTGCTTGCAGGGAGCAAGTCGGTTTTTAAAGCCTTCTAAGAGTTCCTGGGATATCCTGGAGCATTTTATTTTGGGAACTCTGTGCATGACCACATGTGCCAAAAATCAGAGTCAGAGTCCAGTGCAATGCAAAGTAGCAATTAAGACAACCTACAGAGGCTGATGGTTTGGACCGGAACATTTTTTTTAAGGAGGAAAAAAAAGCACACCGTCTGGGTAGTGCTAAGAATTGTACAAATGACAGGTAAGTTTTCAAATTAAGTATATGATGGTAAAAAAAAAAAAAAAAAAAAAAAAAAAAATTCTTTTTCCTGCATCGTTTGATGAAAAGTGTCCCCCATGTATTTTTACTCTAGTCCCACAGAGGCAGGCATTAGTTACTATGTTTTTGTGTGTGTGTGTATTTTTAAATATATTTTTATTGATTTCAGAGAAGAAGGGAGAGGGAGAGAGAGAAACATCAATAATGAGAGAGAATCATCGATCAGCTGCCTCCTGCACGCCCCCAACTGGAATCGAACCCGGGACCCTTAAGTCCACAGGCCGATGTTCCATCCACTGAGCCAAACCAGCTAGGGCGATTACTATGTTTTTATGTTTACATAAAGCACCCATTTTAGCAGATTCCCCAGGATGAATTCAGAGGCAATTGGTTTCACTGGAAAGACTGATTAATGAGTGGATATTTGGTTTCTTTGAATATGCTAACGTTATAAAAATCTGCTTTCTTCATGGAAAAGGGCAACCAATATTCCAATGCTATTGAAATGATATGCATTTTATGATCTGATTATGGGGGTGGGCAAAAGTAGGTCTATAGTCGTGTGTATACAAAACAGAATTTATTCTTGTATTACTTACTAGTGCACTATTTATTATTATTAATAACCTACTTTTGCCCACCCCTGTATATAGATATCATTTTTTTCATTTTTAAATATATATTTATTGTTGCTAGTATTATAGTTATCTCCCATTTCCCCCTCCCACCCTCCTCCCAACCTATACCCACTGCCTCCCAGGTCTTTACTACCCTATTGTCGTGTCCATGGGCTATGCATATCCTATATAATAAAAGGCTAATATGCAAATTGACTGAATGGCAGAACGACCAGCCACTGTGACATGCACTGACTACCAGAGGGCAGACACTCAATGCAGGAGCTTCCCCCTGGTGGTCAGTGCACTCCCACAGGGGGAGTTCTGCTCAGCCAGAAGCCAGGCTCACGGCTGGCAAGTGCACCAGCGGTGGTGGCAGCCTCTCCCACCTACACAGCAGTGCTAAGAATGTCCGACTGCTGGCTTGGAGTGGGCCTAAGCCATCAGTTGGACATCCCCCGAGGGCTCCTGGACTGTGAGAAGGTGCAGGCTGGGCTGAGGGTACCCCCTCCCCCCAGTGCACGAATTTTGTGCACCGGGCCTCTAGTAAGTCTAAATTCTTTGGTTTATCTCTTCTCGTCCCCCATAGATATCATTAATTCACAACACAATTATTACTTACCTGTTCTTGTTTTATTGGCGGTCATAGGACAGTGGGCATGGGGAGTGGAGCATTCAGCTACACTTAGGAACCAGTGGAGCACTTTTCTTTCTCATACAAAACTTGTGCCTGTGGGCCTGGAGGTCACACCAGAGCACAGCAGACACCAATGAGCCCAGTATAACATGGCTCATGGTCTTATCTGGCTGATCTTGGTCAGGCTTTAGACCATCTTATGGAATTCTCCTACGGCTTTAGACTTACTTATGACACATCTTACCTTACTTTTGCCTCAGTTCATGTTGCTTCAAAGTCAGAAGAGCATAATCCTTCTCCAAATTATGACATTATAGTAAGCTATAGTTAATATTTGCTCATTGGCTATTGATGTTATTGTGTTTTTATTTTATAACACTAGCAAACCTTTGGCTCCTAGGTTGGAATTCTCCCAATAGTTTGTAGACTTGACTCCATAGTATTTCTTAGACTTTGAGCTCCATAAGGTCAAGAATTATGTCCATCAAGTTCACTGCTGCAGCTCCAGCCTCTACAGTTCCTTACCCATAACAGCAAAGGGAGAAATAAGAGTAATGAAAACCATCCAAGTTAGACCTAGCTACTTACTCTTAAAAAGCAGCTTCAGGAACCTCAGATGCTAGTAACTGGGGGTGGGGGACTTAACCTCCTAACTCCTTCTAAATGTTCAAATGATAATGATACTTCACATAGGCATAGCACTTTCCTATCCCATTTTAAACTCAGGGCAAACCCATATACTTGATAACAAAGGTATATTTATGTCTAGTTAGCAAATGAGAACACTGATACCCAAGGACCGGCCTCCGATGGCATAGGAGAACCAGAAAATGGAAACATAGTGAGGAGGATCACTGCCATACCCATTCTCCAAATCTCCTCACACATTTTGGGTCCAATCTGACATGCAATGGTGGCCATGTGATGCCAGCTGGAGTAGCCTTTACCCTTCTTAGACTGGTAATTTCCCCACAGGTGAGGGCAACTGGGGCTTATTCTGAAGTACACCTATCCATTACCTAGCAGCATGAATTCATTCCCAAACATTCAACTGCTGAATGAAAAACTATAAAACAAAAAATACTTTTAATAATTGTAATAGAAAAATTATGATGCATTCCAAAACTAAGATATGCAAATGCAGACAGAAAAATGTATTAACTGAACAATAGAAACACCTCTATAAAAGCAATTAACAGCCCAGCTGGCATGGCTCAGTGGTTGAGCATTGACCTATGAACCAGGAGGTCACAATTTGATTCCCAGTCAGGGCATATGCCAGGGTTGCTGGCTCAATCCCCAATGGGGGTAGGGGGTACGAGAGGTAGCCAATCAATGATTCTCGCTCATAATTGATATTTCTATCTCTCTCACCCCCTTCCTCTCTGAAACTAATAAAAATATATTTAAAAGTAATTAACAGCTTCCAGGATTTTGAAAATTGTTTGTATAATCCTATCTAATAAAGATGGGATATGCTAATTGACCATCACATTCTCATAAGATGGTAGCACCCACCACCAATAAAGAGGGAATGTGCTAATTGGCTACCACGCCCTCACCAGATGGCAGCACCCACAGCCACAAGATGGCAGCGTCCAGTCCCCTCAGTCCTTCAGTCCCCTCAGCCCTACCTCATCCAGCTTCATTCTCCCAGTCATCTCAGCCCTAGTGGGGAAGGCAGTTGGGGGTGATTGGGCCAGCAGGAAAGGGCAGTTACAGGCAATCAGGCCAGCAGGGGAGGGCAGTTGGGGATGATCATACCAGCGGGGGAACAGTTAGGCATCAATCAGGCCAGCAGGGGAGCAGTTAGGTGGCTATCAGGCAGGCAGGCAAAGTGGTTAGGAGCAATCAGGCAGGCAGGCAGGCAAGTGGTTAGGAGCCAAAAGTCCTGGATTGTGAAAGGGATGTCTGAATGCTGTTTTAGGCCTGATCCCAGCAGTTGGACATCCCCCAAGGGGTCCAAGTTTGGTGCAGGCTGGGCTGAGGGACGCCCCCCCCCATGCATGAATTTTATGCACCGGGCCTCTAGTGTAATATAATGAAGTTTTGTGGGGGGGTTTTACTTACCAAAGAAATAAAGGAAGACTTCAGAATGAGTGGGAATTGGTAAAGGGTGCAGGTGAATCATCTATATATACACTAGAGGCCTGGTGCCCAAATTTGTGCACTCGGGAGGGGTCCTTCAGCCCAGCCTGCGCCCTCTCACAGTCCAGAGCTCTCAGGGGATATCCAACTAACAGCTTAGGCCCACTGCCCATGGGGAGTGAGCCTAAGCCAGCAGTCGGACATCCTTAGCAAAAGTGGGAGCCCGACTTTTGGCTGAGTGGCGCTTCCCCTGTGGGAGTGCACTGACTACAAGGGGGCAGCTCCTGCATTGAGGATATGCCCTCTGGTAGTCAGTGAGCATCATGGTGACTGGTCATTCCTCCATTCAGTCAATTTCTATATTAGCCTTTTATTATATAGGATAAAAGCCCAGCGATCAGAATGACTGGAACGATCAGTCGCTATGACATGCACTGCAGCTGGACAACTGGCCTGACTGGGGGTGGGGCCAGCCAGCCAACCTCCTATATCCACCCACCAACCCCCCGGCCAGCCCAGCCCCAATCAGCCTCAATCAAGGTAGGCTGGCCAGACCCCACCTGTGTATGAATTTGGGCACCAGGCTTCTAATTCATTATAAAGTACATTCTTCATTCTGTGCCATTTTGCACATTAATTTTCAACCTTTTGGGAGATGATGATTATCTTGCACTCAAAGTGCATTTAAAAATAGTTGTAGTGCCGAAACCGGTTTGGCTCAGTGGTAGAGCATCGGTCTGTGGACTGAAAGGTCCTGGGTTTGATTCCAGTCAAGGGCATGTACCTTGGCTGCGGGCACATCCCTGGTGGGGGGGTGTGCAAGAGGCAGCTGGTCGATGTTTCTCTCTCATCGACGTTTCTGGCTCTCTATCTCTCTCCCTTCCTCTCTGTAAAAAATCAATAAAATACATGTTTTTTTAAATAGTTGTAGTACAGAAAAAATTCCCTTAGGGCAAAATACAAAGTCTAAAACACAAAATTAATGAATGAGTACTCACAAAGACAAAAGTAAGGGTCTGCATATTTAGGTACTTAAACCAAACCTGGCTCACTGCCTGTTTTTGTAAATGAAGATATATTGAAACAAAGTCACACCCATTTGTTGACATATTTATTATTGCTGTGATGCTCCAAGGTCAGAGTTGAGTCATTTTCCAACACATACATGATGGCCTGTGAAGCTTAGCATAGTTATTCTCTGGCCCTTGACAGAAAAGTTTACTGGCCCATAGATTGAAAACTAGAAGATGCTGCCTCTCACTCCACCTACATGGCACATATAATCAGAACAAAATATTCATTCACACTTGACAAGCTTTTCGAAATCGTTCCATTCAATGTTTTCTAAATTCAAGCTGTTGTGTCAGGGAAAATGGTCAATATGTCTTTGCCTGAAACTACAATATTAAAACTGTTGTAGGCAGTTAAATAGACATGAGCAGAGCAAGGACAATGA